CACCTTTCTTTCATGATGAAAACAGAATTCTGAATCTTCTCATTCTGTAGATAAAAGTTTGCTCAAGCAAGTATTCAATCAATTTAACGGAAGATTTTTAGTAGAGGGGGAGAGACCGAGGGTGTCTAGCCCCCCCTACATACAAGTGTAATCGTGGTGGGGGCGCGCGAAGCATGCCCCTAGTGTTTCGGACCTGGAAATCCAATTCTCACCCTATCTGGCCCTCCCCATGTGTGTGCGTGAAATCATGGCTTGGGAACAAAATACCCACTTCTTGCCCTACGTGGCCCTCGCCACGCGACTGCGTAGTCATGATCTTGATGGGGCCGCGCGCCCCCCAGCTTTGGGAACAGAGAGGCCACTTCCTGCCCTTTGTGCACATGCGTGGGAGCAATGATGTTTATGGCGGGGGCAAACGGCCCACTTCCTGCCCTATCCGGCCCTCCCCGCGCATGCTCGTGATCATGGCCGGCTGCTTCACTGGAGGCAGTACCTGATTGGCTCCATGGTGTTCTCCGTGACATGCACGAAAATGCTTATGGCCGTTGGGTTTTTGGACTCGCTTCTTCTGCCGGATGCAGTTTTTTTCGGGGCCGACACAAATTGAAATGACGATTTTGTCAAGTCATCCTTGACTTTTCTTTCCCCCCTTCTCTTTCTGGAGTGCGTGTCCGGTCATGTTCGCCAACCCATAACCCCACAACGGACGCACGATTCTGCCAGACAGTCGGTGGTTGGCAGTTCGGAGTCCCGTTTGCACTCTTATAGGGGCCTGTGTGCTTAGCAGCCCCCTTGCAGTCGACGAAGGCGACGTTCCAGGCGTGGGTTTTGGGACCTTGTACTCGAGATACGAGGGAATCTCTGCACACGCTTTGGGTGGTTTCCAGTTTGCGAGGGATGGGCGAGTCGTTCCTTGGTGGTCGAGCGAACATTTTTGCGGCGCCATGCGGGTCCATGGTCGTCTCTCTCGGAGGGCTTMTTTCACGACAGCTCGGTCGTCGTTGGCGGCGGTCGCGGCTGTCGGGGCTTTCTTATGCCGTGGTGCCGGGTTGTGGATCACTGCGTTCACCCTCGCTCATCGTCTTGCGATGATTGGCGCCTGATTGCCGACGGTGGTCCGGTTGGCGGTCGTTTGCAGGGTGTGGAGGCGGAGGTGCCCGTCACGGACTCTCAGCTTCGACACCATCATCCCGCAGGTTACGGGGAGAGCGTTTGCGGCTTTGTTGTGGTGTCGTCTTCGTGTCCGCACTCACAACGGCGTGTTCCGTTTGTATTGAGGGGGTGTCACGACTTGGTGAGGACACTCTGCGCTCTTCGCCATCCGAGCGGCGCCATTGAGCGGTGGCGCAGGTGGCCTCGGCACTGCACCCGCTGCTTACCGTATGCGAGGCCGGAGACTTGTGGGATGCGTGATGCACCCTCCGACGGCGTCGCGAGGTTGGGCCCGTCATCCTCTGACTTGTTGGAATGCACGCTTGTGCCCGTCGTGTCCCCCATCCTGTGGTCTCGGTATGCTGCACACCGTGACGGATCGCGTTGCGTTGTGGTTCCGCTGCGTTTAGGTTGTGGGCTTTGAAGGCTACTGTCCTCTATCTCCTGGGTTTCGCCTGCGTCGAGTGCTGTTGGTGGTGCCCGCGGCAACAGGCGCATGAGGATCCAGGGGGGAGGGGGTGTGTTCCTTTTGCGCCCCCATGCACAGGAGGAGGCTTTCCGTCCGTCCGGGCGTGTTGGAAGTGTGGTGCATTAGTTTCTCTCTTCACCCGCGTTTCTCGATGGAGAGATGAGGCGGTGCACTTTGCTGTCGGTACATTTTGGGCGGGCGATGGCATCCGGCTGTGGGCCGAAGCTGTCGGTGGTTCCGTCGCGCGCGCCGTTGTTCGGGTAGTGTGGTTAACTTGCGATCTCTGGGTGTGGTGTGGGCGGGTGCTGTTCGCAGCCAATCTTTTGAGCGAGTGCGGCGGGTTGTGTTGGATTGTGCGGTACCTTGCCGTTGGAGA